TTTCTAATCTACGCAAATACATTATAGCTAGCTATAAAACGATGAAATCTGCATGAACCTTAGCATAAATATATGCAAGAAATGCGAAACGCAAAAGAATTCTTCCGTTCAAGTTTTCCAACTTTTTGAGCCGGAGCCTCAAGATAATTGACCTTGGTTGTTGGCGGAGAAATACTATTGACCTTCTTGTAATGGTGCTAAAAACTTTGATACATCCATTTCTAATCTATATGCCATGTTTGGGGCTTAATTCAAGTTTTTTTTTTACAAGACGCCAAATTACAGTTCCTCGGCGGCGCTGAGATAGCGGCCGCAATATGACATAGCCGTCGCAAGAGCAGGAAACGGGCGCAGCATGAGATGCGCTTGGCGTCAGGCTCGATCGCGCTGGATTTCATCGATCACAGCGGATCCAACTGTCTGGCACGCTCTTGCCCGAGAGAGCACCGGGTATCTAACGCACGCCACCCCAAACTAAAGTATTTACCAAAGAGTTATAAAATAATATTGTGACATTGGACAATGTAGGGGTTATCTTTTATTGCCATCTATTCTTTATTTAGCTACGAGGGAATGACATTGTGCGGAGGACAGATTTGTGGATGTGAAAAAATAGCGACCACTGCCGTTTATAAAACGCCTGCCATAGTAGATGTTGTGATTGTTGTTCGCAGCTATGCCTCATAAACTTTGATGGCCGCATCGTTAAGATCCGACACTCTACCCGACTATAGACTTCAACGTAAACCATACAATCGAAAAAAGCATTTGGTCATATATGTAGCTCATCGAAATGCAGACATATCAGTTAATTCCAGTCCGTCATCAAACACAGCTCCCAGCTTTTTGGCGAATTTTAGTTATTGATTTTAGGGAAGCATGTGATGAGGCGTTTGAAAAATGGCGACAAGTGGTCGGCATCGATTTCATGGAGACAACTGATGCCAAAAAAGCCGACATTGTCATCAGTTTTGAAGACCTTCCATTATCCTTGATGAACGGTAAGAAACGAATGGCTTGAAAACAAAGACGAGAAAAAGAGCAAAAACGCTGCACTAGAACTGACCTTGATCATAGGCTGGTTACTTCCAGCAGCAGCAATCGCCAGCCGTCCTGGAAACAGCAGGATTATCCTAGACAAAAGCCGCATTTGGGGCTATCGAAACCATGTTCCAGTGAGTATGGCTAAAACACGTTAACCATTCATTTATGTGTAACTTAGAGGGGCATTTCTCTCTTCCATACTCTCCTACATGAAATTGGACATACACTCGGGTTACATCACAACTTCTATCGCGGGTGAGTGATTACATATATCTTCAAAAAAA